CACAAAAATAACAATTACTAAACTTGAGTTTACACAAGCCAAACACTTCTGGATTAACAGAAATACATAACCATGAACCAGCAGATTAGCTTAACGGCTCAGAGGACAATTTAACGCGCAGGCAAGGCTCTGGTTTGTAGAAAAAAGCTAAATGGCTAGAAACACTGAACACCACTAAATCAAGTCGTTAATAATCACACAACGTAGCCTGGAATATTCAGACACGCTCTGAAGCTAAACTTCCGAAACTCTTGCTTAAATAGTACTTCTTTCTACTTCTAATAACACCCATCACTGCTTCTATTAGTGATGGGTGTTATATGATTTGCTCTATACCCTTCCTCATTTCGAAATGACGGATATGTCACAGCGCATGACACGTGAACTAACTCTCTCTTTCTGAGTTTACCGGAGCTTGCTTATTTGTCTCAAAGTATTGAAGCTCACACATGTGTCCATCAGCCATTGGGACTCAGCGTGCGAGTGCAGTTGAGCTTTTGTGTTCGCTATCTGATTCAGTATCCGTGGTTTCAGTTATCCGCAGTTTACAACAGCTCAGTCAAAATAATAATGAGTGCTGCATAAAGTTCTGAAATGCATAATAAGTAACAATGGGCCATAACATAATTAATATTAAATGCAGAGCTCATACGAAGACTTTAAAGGAAGACTAATAAATACTAACGCAACTTGAGTAATTTTGCAGCTTTGATACGGAGTTCCGTGCAATAGGTCTTTATTTTGTCACGCGTTACATATCTTCAAGATACATGGTGTCTCATTTCTGTAAAAACTAAATTTAATTAAGAATATAAGAAATTTAATATGAACTGCGCAAGAAGAAAGGTCGGTGTTGAAATATTTTAGAGGTACTAAATATTTTAGAGATACTAACACAGCAAAAATGTTATAAAGTGAATGATCACTTTTAACCGAAATGCAGGCGTTAAGGCGAATTTTCATGCCATGTTTTAGATTGTCCAGAAGTTTCTGCATAACAAAGTACATTCACAAGAATGTGCTGCTGTGATGAATAGTTGGGGACTCCTGTGATGTATTTACATCCCATACGCATTGTATCACACTAAATCCGGAGAATATGTGACCATTCCATCCGATGACATCCTTTGTCCTAGATATAGATCCCTGTCTAATAATCCAACAAATCCAAAACCAATTTAGCAAGCCGCTTCAGATCTCTCAGCTGCCAACCTGAAAGTTGTAATTTCGGAAAGACTAGACACTGACTAGAAGTAAAATGTTGCTGAGTTTACTTTTTTTATTAATAGAACTAAATATTTTGATGACCACATTTTATCTGCACTGTCACACATGATGCTTCCCTTTTCATGATGCATGATTGTAATCAATGACTGGAGTTATTTTTTTTAAGGAGAAGACAAAGCAACATAGCAACTCTTTCTAAATATTCAGGAGACTTCATTCTTCAGAGAATTCTTATTGATTTAAGAAAGGAGTTTAGGAACTGCTAGTTCCATTCATAAAAGATCAACTTTCAGTATTTGTAATCGTAAAGAAGTCGAAATTAACTGGAATTGCAGCATGTTATCTGGTCAATAAAAGCGAGAAATATCGATGCTATTACTGATATTAAACAGCTGTATCTTAGCTTTAAACTTATGTTAAATCTAAACTTGTGTTAATCAATTAAATAGATGCATAACATTCAATGTTTGTGTATGTAATAGTAACAAAGATGATAATATTAATTTTATTTGAAAGTTTTAACTTTTAAATATATTTCGTAGAGTTAGGTAACTATCATAAAATGTGTCAGAAGACATTTAAATTTAGCAACCACTCTGGTAAAATTTCCTCATATAGTCAAAAATCACTGATAAGCAGTTTCGCTTAAAATAGGTTTTAATAATTAATAGAATCGACGTTAGGTATAACAAACTATTAAGCCCTGAAGAAAAAGGACGTTACGATTAGCGGTTGCTGTAAAGTGTATTTAATGTACGGTTACCAGATGAGGCCTTCTGGCACCGTTTGAACTGTTCCATGTAATGAATTTCTTGTATTGTTCTGTGTTATAGAATACTGGCCCAAACTCATTGACTTTTAAAAAAAGCTTCGATTGTATCTAATAACTTCTTAGTTAGAATTCGAATCTAGTTGTTGTATGAAAAGATAGAAATACAGACGTACTACCACATTATTTCTAAATGATAGTCAAAAAATGAAACAAAACAGCTTCGTCTAATTTCAACTGAACATTCCAAATTCCCGTTTCTGCTAACAGATTCTGATGTTTCAGTTTTACAACAAAAGATTGTCATAAACAATGTTTTATGTTAAGTAAATAAAATTACTTATATTTAAAATTCATAACAAAATAACAACGTCACAACTAGATATCCAATTATAAATACAAACTAATTAAGTGTTTTTATTTTGGTTTCGTATTCTGCAACTGTTTAGTGGCCCTTTTGGTGGTACGAGAGACATCCGTGAGTTATTCAGAACATTTATTCAGATTTACTGGAAATTTGAATGACGCCACAGATGAAAGTAAGAATTAATAATTACTTTCTCTTTCATCAAGACAGTTTTCGGTTCGCTATCACTGGTACTATTATTTTGAGTACTTGAATGAAAATTCACCACAAGATAGGAAATTTTGTGAAAGAATCTGAACGAGAAGAAACGCGTTAACGAGAAGTCCACCTTAGCCTTCGGCTTTAATCCCATGCCACTTTATCAAGGATACTGTCTTTAATTTCACTAGTCCAGGATCTTTGTGTATCCTCCAGTCGCCATACCACCGATACTGGAATAGAATTCAGGAGATTCGTCATTAAGCACCGTAAAGTCTTCTAAAACATCAAAAATATTATTGATTTCCTAAATTGCCAAGGACTGGACATGTGTCATCAACAATAAGTCAATTGTCAAATGCAACAATAGGAGTATCCACTCTCCAACCTCATACTATGCAGGAGTACCTTTAGAAAACACACATAAATATCTCCATTTATTGAGACAAACATCACTTTTCTCATACCTACTCAAACTACGAACTATGCACTGACTTCACACTGTGTAAAGTGCGACAGCTACACCAGTACTACGCACTCAACACTATGTACCATGAAATTAATTCATAAACTGTGTGCTGTTATGAACTGTAATATGAATGAACTTATACTGCGCACCGTGTAATAGAAAACTAAATAAACAACGAACCATGTATTATTATATCACCCCTCACCAACAAAGATCGAAACCGAAACACAAAAGAAATATATGTATATACCTGTAAAAAACTTATTGTATTCATCCATGCAACTGCAAAATACTCGTGTAAAGTATACTTTAGGTCAATTTTGTCTGTAATGTAAATTGTGAACCATTAATATGTAACTATTTTGAATGCTGCAATGTAAACAAATGCCCGAGCATGGCATTAGTGTGCTCCGTGAGGATGTACTTCCATAAATGGTTAGTGCAGTGGGGCGATACCACGTTTGCCTATGGCGATGTTTTGGTGTCACCTGCACTTGTTTCTGTCTGTGTATCCTTCAGTATTACTAATAAATAGCATATAGTCAATTCAAATTTTTCATACTCTAGCTGCTTAGTGTATTGGGGTAATACCTGTTCAATTCTGTAGTGACGTTTCTGGTGCTCCATGCACTTTTACCCTGTTTACCTATAACCGCATTCTCATATACTGTGGTTGGTGATCTGTATAGAAATATACTGGCACGCCTATGTGATAAAATGTATAATCCGATAAAAATCAGACAGTTGTCTATTGAATCAGTACAGGTGAATATAATAAATATCTCTGGAATGATGCGTAAATAAATCAAAGCATCAATTTAAAAAGGCGTGATCAGTTTACTTTTGTTTTCTATAATAAAATTTGGTATCAGTTATGTAATTTATCCGTTACGAATTAAAAAAGAAATAAGTACTTATGTACTATTGCAACCATCTTAGTAGAAGTAGCCAAATTTAGAAAGTGTCAAACTCTGGCAACCATGCGTATAAACATTCTTCTAGTAACCATCGTTTCAGTCAAGCAGCGCCGCCATTTTCGTATGCGTTCTATTTTGTTGTATAAGTTCCAACAGCTTTTGTACACAAATCGTGATACGTGATATTTTTTGCCTTAAACATCATTTTTAAATATGAGCTCCTGGAATTAGCCAACAATGGAAGAAACTGTGGTAAAATTCGGCAGTGATATAGAATTCTGAGGAAAATTTTCTACAGGGAACAACTAGAAAATGCGTTTTCTAGATAGCTGCTGCTACCGAATATTGCATGAAGTGAAGTCTCGGTAATTTCTAATGTTTTTTATGTGAAAACAGGTAGCTGTGTTCTTCGGAAGTAGAATAACCCCCAAAAATTACATAAAGATTTGAAGAAGAATGTAAGTGTTTTAATTTTTTAATGTATGACATAATCCTTATTTAATGATTCAAATTTGTATTTTAAATTTCTAAAGTATGGTTTCTTTTCCTATGTTGATATTTTTTTACCAAACTTGCATATGCTAAATAACTTTTACATTATCATCCGTAAAAAATCCCTAAATTGCGCCAAACTGGCTGCGAAAGTATGTAAGTACCAAAAAGTTAAAATGTTTCTGGGAATACTGAATAGTTTTGGATTTTGTCATTTTGGTGCCATGACACTATTTCTGTGTCTTACTTTCTGAAATATCTTGTATGGCACTTTAATTAAATTCCAAGACTATATATTTGTCAAGCAAAGTAATTCCTCTTTAGAAGTGTATAATTTTATTTAATTTAAAGATTATTAAATATTAGGGATTACAGCTATAAAAAAACTGTACTCACGGAAAATATTTTGCCCTTTAAATATTGTGAAGCACCTTTCTCTTCCATTTTTTCTAATGCTCAAAGCAAAGAAAGCATTCATGTAGCTACATATATATACTGATCTTTTACGAAAATATGCATAAAGCTATTAATTCGCCTTATGATTCTGAATAGTTACCTTACCTTAAGGCAGATGAAATTCCACGCATCAAGTTATCTATTCTTTTGTCAACATTTTCCACTCCTTTTGGTACGCATAATGGTCCTAGATATGCTACCGCAACCCGATCAAAACCTTTCAAAATTTCATCCGTCAGCGGATCTTCGAAATGAAAAATTTTGACTTTTTCTTCTGCGACTGATTTTTCGCATTCAGTTAAAGCGGTGGTTAAAGCTCCTTTAAGACTAATATCCCAGAGTTTCGCATTTTCTGTCAATACGAAAGTTTTTGAACTCTTACGCGTGTCGATATAAGAACCAAGTAAGAGAACAGATTTGCCTTTATAGTTCATTAGAAAGCAGTTTACAGAATTGTATTTTATTAGTTTAAAGATTTCTTAAATTATCCGCTTTATGAGCATTTAACATGTCGATCACGTGAAAATGATAATTGTAGGAATTTTGTTTATGTGTTTTCACGTCACGAGTTTTTGAATCTTACTTAGCTTTTATCTATATGTATAAAGAAGTCTATGTGTTTATTTAGATATTAATTAAAAACGCTAATTTTCGCCCTCTTTTTTTCCGAGTGGCAACAGTGCTGGTATCAGCAAAAATGGCAACAATGATATATCAACAACAATGGCTGCGTGCCATTGTTGCTGATATTATGAGAAAGAATTAGTTTATTTTTCTATCGAAATTTTTATGTGGGTTCCATATCTCTCAAAATAATGATGTATTTGTTTTTATTTCTGCTGACCCAAATGTCATATGGGCATATGTACCATATGATTGTATGATTACGTAGTCAGTTGTGGTGCATGTATTGAATATTACTTTGTTTCCTTGGCATTACAATGACGCATCATATTCCTCATGATGTGTAATATGCTATTATAATTTTCAAATGATGTATATAATAAGTAAAATAATACATTATTCTCAATATAACTTAACTGATATCAGGTACTACCGCTAGTTTTAAATATTTTCTGGGTAATTGTTTAGCTAAGAAAATAAGTACAATTATCCAGCGTAGTTACAAATAGCCAATCCTGGTGAAAGATTGAATATTTATGACTTTTTTCCTATGACATACAGTTAACCATTATGCATTATCAATTAACTCTTCTTATTTACTGCGTTTCTGATAAAGAAACGAAACAAATTGCCATATATTGTTTTGAGACGGAACTGTCACAAACTCCGGCTAAACTTCGAGTTTCAAGTAACTCTCAGAGGAAATATAATCCAGCTTGACGATAAAAATATCATGTGTACGGCTTGTTAAATTAAACACATTTTTGTGCTGCATTTCATTTAAACTTCTTTCCTCGAATTTCATTAGAGATAAATTCCTCATTCAATGAATTCACTTCTCACATCACGGTAAAGCAAAAATATATGAAAGTTAAAAACATCTTCATTAAAATATTGTAAAATACAGTAAAACATAAAACACAAAATTCAGTTTAAAACAGTAAAAGAAATTATGAATGCGTTCAGATTTTTTTTTTTTTTTTTTTTTTTTTTTTTTTTTTTTTTTTTTTTTTTTTTTTTTTTAACGTTTAAAGGGCCATTTGTTTTCATTTACATACACATACACGTTCGAGAGCATTTGAGCTAATGTTCCTTTGGGCTAAAAATATTTAAAAACAGACTATCCTTAGGAATTCCGAAAGACAGTCTCGCTCGCTGGAGATAAAAATGTGTTTTCTTTACAGTGTTGCCATTAATCGCTTTGAAATCGTTCAGTTTGTTAATTAAAAATTCGTTAAAGTTTTACAAAATTTTTGGCTAACCCTTTGGGCTAACAATTTCGTTTGTTCGAGGTTCGTGGTAATGTACCAGAAATTAATATACCGGAAATCCTTCTTTGCAAGCTGCAAGACGTTAGAATAAGAAACTGCTCGAAGTTTGATTTGCCTGGAGGAACCATATATGCTGCTCTAGATATTGAACACTGGGCCGGTAAAATGTCGTATATGAAGAAAAGAAAGTTTAGAATGCCTGTAGCTAAAAATATCACGTAAATTAAGACTTTGATATTAGGCTTAAAGCAACCGTATCAGCGACATAACGAAGGGTATTGAAAAGTGTTTGCCAGTTACGTTTCCTAGATATCTATCTCCAGAGACAGACACTGCGAGTCGTAAAGGGTTTATTGCTTTGCTCTTGTTTTACTGTTGAAATGTAGAATATGCTGAAATACATTTTATTCATGCACAAAAGAAGTACAATTTAGAAAAATTATAGAGCCTACACCACAGAACATATTCAGACAAACCGGCATGTTAAATGTTTCACTGGGGTTGAACCGGTTCTTTTGCAATTGCAAGAACAGATCATAAATTACACCGTGATATGCAAATGCTGTTGTTAAAAGAAATATTAGCCAAAGCAATCTTGACAGATCTCGGAAGAAGAAGGAATCCCATGTCCAATCAATGAGCACATTTACAACAAAACTGTGCTCTTAGCAAGTGCAATACATATAGGAGTCGACACCAACTGATTACCCACTGCAGACAGCTTTTGCACAGCGAAAGTTGTGCAAAAAAGAAAAGGGCAGAAAATCTACATTAGTAAATTTGATTGTATCTGAAGAGATCTTTACATATGAAGTATAATTCTAGCAAGATGGATCGTTAGCATTTCGCTATAATTATGCTTTCAGAACAAGTATGTGGTCGATAATTAAATCCCATTCCAGCAGCAATGTAAATGAATGGTCATGAATTGTGATATTCTTGTAGATTTGTAATTCCTGTCGTCAATTCATCTCGAAGGCCAATAACTAGGCTTCTTGGAAAATGAGTTTCTATTGGCACTGTAAGATGCATCTCTGAGCACACATCGTCGCATACGGTTGATTCATTATGCTGTTCTTGCATGAACTCCAGCAACGGACTGAACATACGTTTCTGTAACCCATCTGTATTGTTCGAACAGATCCAGTAGCCTGAAAAATGGCGCTGTGCCGCTTCTGTCATTGCTGGTGGCTCATATTTGGAACATTTATTATAATGCCTACTTGCATATGTTTCAGTCTTTTTATTTCTTGTATTCTGTTCCATATTAAAGGTGCTATATGTTCCATAATAAAGATGCTATAAATTACATATCAAAAGTGCTTCTTGCCAGTTTTTCTCGTTCCATTACTATGGATTTCCTGTAGTATATTCATCGGATACCTCCTCCCCCGTTATACCATCCCTCCTGGTGTTTGGCTAGTTCAGAGATACTCTGTACTCTCAAAGGCATTTACGGTGTGATGACATCTAAAAATATGACATGTTATTAAATTATATCATATCTTTCCTTAATTCATTTTGTGACACTGGTAAACTTGTTTAAATTCGCTATAATTTAAAAGGCCAAAAAAATATTACATTTTAGGACTAGAAAAGACTTCCATGGCTGTACCATTTATTTAAGTTAATTAAGTAGGATCTGAGAACATCAGCTCTTTCAGCTATTAAAAAAGGATAATTAAACTTAATAGATGTAGTTCTAATGTTTTCTTTACATTTTCTTTCAAAACATTAATTAATGCATGTAAGCCTAATGTTACCTCTCTTCGAGTAGACTCTGGCAACCATTGTGCCATGCGATATGGACAAGACAACAACAACAACAAGTCTAATGTTTTCCTTTTATCTGAAGCAGTAAAATTGAGATGTTTCAATATTGTTAGTTTATTTCTTTGAGCGAACTATATACGTAATTTGTGTCCCATAAAAGTGATAGAAGGCCACTTCCAAAAACGGCGACACTTGACATCCATAAAATTACTTTTGGATGCTCTGATTCAAATTAATCAACTAATTATTCAAACATTCAACAATTTTGAATTTTTCTGTAGAGATAATTCATAATAATAAGATTCATAATTTAATTAAATAAAATAAATATATTTTATAGGCTTAAACTATGGATGCCACAGAGGAACAAGAAAATACGTTTTCGTATAATTCTCCAATTATACCAAAGAAGTTTGAATAATATAGCAAAATTGCTTCTCGCACGATATTAATAAATTATTAACGTCAACGAATAGCCTTCAGCTTCAAGTGATAAACTTATCTTTTCTTATTGGCAACTACCTATTTTATGTTTTATAATTCCTAGGAAGCAGGGCAAAATAAAAAAAAGAAGCATTTATCTGTAAGCGCATTACAAAATTTATAACACGTGTTGCTCTTATTTCGTGACAAAGGCTTAAAGAAGAGCAATTTTAATCAAATTATCTACCATTTGTATTAACAGGTTATGCTGATACCAATTTATCTTTCAAACATTGAAGCACGATTTATCCAGAGGAACATGTAATCGGAAATGTTACTAAATGCGTTTAAGTCAATGCAAAATTGCTGAGTTTATGGAGAATACTATTTCATGGATATTTTTAACTTTCTACTACTCACCTGACACAGCAAATACCATAAGGAAACCTTTATTTGAACTTGATTTCCAGTGATGTTTCAGTAAATTTCGAATGGCAAATGATGCCGTATTACGTAAGAATGTCTACAGATTATTCTGGAAGAATTATTAACAGAATATTCTGGAAGAATGTCTACAGAATATCACACGACGCTTGAAAAAGTTATGAACACCAAATAATTCCTATTGCAGTTTATCAAAAGCAAATATTTAAAAACGTACAGCATCTCTTACTAATATCTTTCTTGTGGTACAACATCCATGAATTGATAACTATTCATTCTGACAATTGCTATCTAGCAAAATTCTCATTTTAATTTAATCTTAGAAATATAAGGCTAGGATTTTAGGAAAAAACGTACTAGTTTTTTGGAGGACTAATTATGTCCATAATTGCACGAATGATTAAAATCTGTGCATGCTCGTAGTCCTTTAAGAGACTCGTTTTCATGTGGAACGATTATGTATGTATAAGGGATGTTTATATGGCTTTTCCCTTTATGCATTGCAAATACAAGCCCCTTTGACTAGAAAATGCTACAGGTACTCGCAATCTAACGCAAATACCCATTTCCACTGTAAATACCGGTGTCCATATTTTAGAAATGGTTACTATTTCAGTTAGTGGATCTGCGAAATCTACAAGAACCTCAGACCAGAAGTTATTTTTCAGCTGTGATATTCATTATTAGACATGAAAGAGTATAATTTGTCTTAGAGTGGTTATATACTTTAAAATCACATCATAATACCGTTTTATGAATTTGAAATATCTGATGGGGACTCCGTATGACTTCCTTGCACTTATTAAATCATGGACACTTTTTGCTGCGCTTCATTTAAATTTATATCCTCAAATTATTTTAAATTAATCAATCTCTCAGAGAAAGTTGAAGATGACATCAAAAATTAAAAATTTTGAAAAAAATATACAGGT